CTCCTCCAGAATAGCTCCGACTTGGCTATCCCTAGCATCCGCATGATTGATCTTATCAATGAGCACCTTCGCATCCCCTTCAAACTTGACTACCGAAAGGCCAATCGAAAGGCACCACCTAACCGCCTCCCTGAGGGCAAGCAACTCCAGCACCATCGGATCATCCACCTCCGGAAAAAGAATTCCTTTCACGAGCCAAACTTGCCTTGACGGAGTTAGCAGAACAATCCCACCCGCACCATGCGACCCCCTTCTCACTGCCCCATCCCATAAACAGACCGCACAATCATCCGCAGCACTGCCAACAGGGAGGGTCCCAGGAGGCATCACCACCGGGGAACCCGTCCGGGAGGGCCTGTCCTCAGGCAACTGCACCCACTCCTCATACTGCTGATGGAATTGCCGCATCAAAGCTGGGAAATCATACTGTTTGCCTTCAAAAACAACCCAGTTTCGCGACCGCCAAATCCTCCACAGGACAGCCACCACGGCCATTAATAAGGCAGGTTGGTGAATCCGACCCAAAAGTTGCTTCAGGAACATGGGGAAGGTATGTCTAGGAAGTCCCTCCCCTAGATAATCCAGGCCAGAATGCACCCAAAGGGTACGAGCCACAGAACAATCCAGGAACAAGTGCTCCATTGATTCCGCAGCATCCCAGCACACCGGACACCTGGGATGCACCTGGATCCGTTTCTCAATAAGGGCCTCCGTAGTAGGCAAAATTCGATTAAGGATCTGCCAAAGAAAAACTTTCAGCTTAGGCGGAATATCCGCATCCCACACACGAATCCAAGACTCCTTATCCATCCAACCCACTGAAGCTCTCCACCCCCCTCTTCTTCTATCCATATCCACAGCTAAATGATAAGCCGATTTTACCGTGAAGACCCCATCCCTTGTACCGTGCCAGATCACCCTGTCCCTAACATCGAGTCTAGGGAGAGGGATAGCTTTAATGGCTTTACAGGTAGGGGGATCAAACCAACGACTCAGCTTGTCATCATCCCATCCACCTCCCCCCGGATGCATGACCTCTGCCACGGGGGGATCGCCCCCAACCGGCAGGACCATAGGATTATAAAAAGGGGGATTGTGCTGAAGTCGCGGAATCCAACTCGAGTTAAGCAACGACGCAGTCTGGCCATTGCCAATCTGCCACCGTAGCCCCTGTACCAGTAAATCCCGACCAAAGAGGATACTCTGCCACCCCCACGACGGGCGGGACCGAGCTTTGGCTTCGAGGAACGACCCGTTAGGGAAGTACTTGCCTTTGTAAACTTTTGCCAGAAGGGACTCAGGTTCCATCAGGATACGCCACCCAATCTTAGCCAATAGAGCCTGATTGAATTGCTCAAACCGACGAAATCCCAATCCCCCCTCATGCTTGCTACGGCACAGACTACGCCACGAGATCCATCGCACTCTGGAGTGATCCTCTTCATCCCCCCACCAGAACCTGGCCACATGTCTATCCAGGAGCCGACATAAAGCAAGGGGTAGCTTAAAGCAGGACATCACATGTAAAGGCAAGGCAAGAGCAACCGATTTAATCAAGGTTTCCTTCGCCGCCCATGACAACGTCCTCCTTTTCCATCCCTGAAGACGTTCCAGCAGTTTCTCCTCCAGATATCGGAACGTGGCCATCTTGGATCGCGCAACGAGGGTAGGCAGACCAAGATATTTATCATGCACCCCTACCGCCCCCACTCCTAAAATCGCAGCCAAAAACTCCTGATCAGCCCGGACAATATTCTTGCTGAAGCATACAGCTGACTTGGCCAAATTCACTTTCTGGCCACTCATTTCCTCATATTCGTTCAGAACCTCAATCAAATTCTCACATTCCCTGAGGGTGCCTCGTAAAAACAGATACGAGTCATCAGCAAAAAACAAGTGAGAGATCCGCGGCGCCCGAGGAGCCACTTTCACCCCTTCCAGCTTTTTATCCGCAATAGCCTTGCGAAGGAGGGCCGCAAATCCCTCAGTACAAAGCACGAACAAAAGAGGGGAGAGGGGATCCCCTTGCCGAAGCCCCCGGGAAGGAGAGAAGTACCCAGAGGGAGTCCCATTCATTAGAACCGAAAAGGAGGAGGATTGGAGACACTCCCGAATCCACCCTTGCCAGATACTGTTGAAGCCCATCTTATCTAAAACCGCAAGAAGAAACGGCCATTCGACTCTATCATAGGCCTTTTCCATGTCAACCTTTAGAGCCATGTACCCTTTCTTACCCCGCGTTTTAATTTTAAGATAATGCATCAACTCATGGCCGAGAAGAACATTTTCCACGATTTGACGTTCACGGATGAACGCATTTTGCCCCTCCGAAACAATTGCGGGCAGGAACTCAGCCAGCCGCTCAGCCATAATTTTTGTGATAATTTTATAAACAAACTGGCATAAACTGATCGGACGCAGTTGTCTCATAGATTCAACATTGTCTACCTTGGGGATTAGGGTAAGCCACGTGTGATTGAAGCTGCGGAGCATCCGACTGGTAACAAAGAAGGACCGCACCGCCGCAACCACCGTCTCACCCACAACATCCCAGAAGGCTTTAAAAAATTTCCCCGTGAATCCATCAGACCCAGGAGCCTGCTTCGACCCCATAGCAAACACCATTTTACGAATCTCGGCGGGTAAAACCTCAGCCGTGAGGCTAGCATTCATCTCAGGGGTAACACTATGAGCAATAGGCAAGGACGCCACCCGCTCAGCCATGTTCCCAACCTGATTCTCTGACGTAAAAAGGTGTTGATAGAAGGACGTAGCAATTCCTGCCTTCTCACTTTCATTGGTAACCCACTCCCCATTATCATTCCGAAGACCAGCAACGAAATTTCTTTTACGCCGCGCTCGAGTCACTGTATGGAAGTAGGAAGTATTCTTATCCCCTTTCTTCAACCAGTGAACCCTGGACTTCTGTTGCCAGTAAACTTCTTCCGCTTCCCATTGACGATTCAATTCCATCTCTAATTCCCGAATCATATCCCAATTAATTGGATGGACGGATTTAACCCTCTCAATCTCGCTTTGGAGAGTCCGAATGTTCCGCAAAGAATTGGTGGTCCCAGCCCTACTCCAATCATACAAGAGATGACGAAGCTTCTTAAGACGCTCCCAAAGGCAGAACATCGGGGACCCCTGGATATCCTCCTGCCAGACATAATTAACCATAGCTCTGACTTCAGGGTTATCTGCCCATCGAGCATCAAAGCGGAAAAGAGGACGACTAGCCCGAACATAAGGCTTGTCCGACAGAAGGAGGGCTCTATGATCAGAACCTTGATCAGTAAAATGTTTGACCAAGGTATCCGGGAAACGATCTATCCAGGGCTGAGAGCAGAGGGCTCTATCCAGGCGCTCCCGGATACAGGCACTACCCATCCTTCTGTTGGTCCAGGTAAAGATGTCCCCCTGGTAACCCGGATCATGGAGACCCAAATCATCAATAAACTCACGCAAAACGATGGAAGAATTGGCATTCCAAGGGTTGCCCCCATCTTTTTCACTTGCACTCAGGATAGTATTGAAGTCACCAATCACCACGTAGGGGAGATGGAAAGCAGAACAGATGTTCCGAAGATGCGCCAACTGAGTTGTTCGAATAGCAGCAGAACAACTAATATAAACACAAACCACAATATAAGAAAAATCCACTTCATTAATTTGAAAACAAATACAAAAGTTGGACGAATAAAAAACCGAAACATCAATCTCCGGAGTCCAGGCCAACACTAACCCGCCCGACCCATCAATAGCATCAACAAAAAAACAACGAGAATTATCAAAACCCAAACCCCGCAAGCGACGGGAAACAACATGCCGACTAGATCGTGTTTCAGAAAAAAACACGATCTCCGGTTTGTTGGAATAGACCATACCCAGGGCCGTTTGGAATGTGAGGGAAGGTCCAATGCCTCTCACATTCCAGGCTAATAGCCTCATTTATCGGACTGGGGCCACTCCAGGCTGGCTTCCTCCACCTTCTCATTAACATCAGCGACTTCCACAAACTGTTTCTTGGGCGTTGGCGGGGTACCCACCTCCCCTTCAATAACCTCCAAAGGCCTTTTAAGCATACCAGACGAAGAGTTTGGTAAATTAGACCCGTATTCATCAAATCCCCCCACGTCCTCTCCCTTCATGTTTCTGATGTCTGGCGCTCCTCCTCCACTTACATCCCTTTCCTCCTCAATAGTCATTCCTGCTTCAAAAGCCGCCACCACTTGGCTAACCCGACCCATGGTAGGCTGGCCAGCTTTAATAGATTCAGCCAATGGGGTCCTTTTTTTAATCATAAAGCTTTGGGCTTCTTCCCCTGAGGCCGAATCTTCTGAGTCCTGGGCCAACACCAAATTCGGCCCACCTTCAGTGCCTGGGGATTGCGGGCCAGGAACCACCGGCTCGGCTGGATCTCTTCCTTCCTCCTGTGGCAAGTCACCCCCACCCTGGGCCGGAGGCTGTGGTTGGGCCGAGGCCTTGCGCAGCTTGCGAGGCCCACGCGAGCGGACAGGCTGGGTAAGCCCCAGGCCCACAGCCGCCTCCGCATGCTGGGTATGTCCCAGGCCCACAGCCGCCTCCGCATCGGCCCGAGGAGTCCCCTTCGCGGCCTGCTCCGACCTCAGCTGCGTCCCCGCCCGTCGTGCCCCCTTCTTTCCAGCTCTCACCATATCAGTCCCCATCGGAGACGAGGAGGGCCATATATGATAATTGAAATCTTTTTTATATGAATTGCCTGACTAGAACAAGGGTATAACAAGGGTCGGAGATTAAGCATACATAGCAGCAATAACAACCAAGCAAAAATGTCAAGGGAGAACAACAAACTCACTGAACCAACAAATCTGCTTAATTTACACTAAGCAGGGCTGAACATCCACACATCACTTACAACAAATGTAGACCTATGATCATCATGCAATTTGGAAACACCCTTTTGTTTGTTCTGCGGAGTGCTTTGTCCACTGCAAATCTTCTCCTTCTACACCCCTCCTCTCTACGATCACACCTTTTGCAACGCCGGCTAATCCGTCTCTTGATGCTCCAAGTTCAGCTGCAGACTGCGATCACCCCAGAAAGGCCATTCTACATAATACTACACCGTCAATCGTCGATCGATCTCTCTGTACATGCTGATAATTAACTAGTTCTCTTTGGCTTGTAACTGTGAGAATCACAGCACGCGATAATTAACTAGCAATTCCAGTACAATGTACTAAAGCATTACAAGAATCCCAAAAACTGAAATTGCAAATGAAGTTAAAGGAATGTAGGTGGTATGAACTCTTTGCAGTCTTGCTAAGGATGCCGATTTGACAATGAGAACCACTTATGAAATTGCTAAGTAATTACAAGATGAGATGTTCTATATATGGATCCAGTTGCTGCACTGGTGGCATTCGTCTGCCACATTGTTGGCACGAAACTCTTGAACGGTCAGAGCTACAATAACAAAACAAAACATGTATCTATGAAAGCCTTCATTTTGCAAGAAGCAGCTTGATAGAAGATGAGGAGGCAAAAATGGTGGTGCATCATAGGCAGCAACTACAGAGGTGGGAGTGGTTCTCTTCACTGTAATCATATAGGACCTGCGCTTCTTTAGATATACGCTTATATCGCATCACCTCCTTCATAAATTCGAAAACCTTTCTGGAGCATAATAGAAAAGACGGCTTAATCTCAACCCTCAAAAGATTTGGGGCTGTGGCAAGTATGAACCTGACAAGTTCCAACTCAAGCGGTGCCCCAAGGCCGTCTTCAATTGCAAATACTCTGAGATGCTGCAAACATGGTCCACGACGGTGTGCTGCTTCTAACAAGGTTCCTATGCTAGTCGCCAAGTTATATGCAAGCTGATTTCGCCGGCTAACCATGCACTGCAAGAGCATTTAACAAGGAACAAGGTAATTAGCCTCTGTAGGTAAATTTTTTTTGTTTTTACAGGATTTTTGCAGCTTTCGAACACACAAACCGCAACCTGAATCACGAGTTTATGCAAGTTGGGAGCACTCGAGATTAGGAAAACAAGAATGCGCTCCCCCAAACTAGTAATGACATTAAGATAGATGCAGAGTGTTTTCAGCCGGCAATGAGGGGAAGGAAGCCTGGTGGAGACATGACCACCTTTACCAAATACCTGCAACAGGACCATACACAGACACATACACATAGCATACCACGGCTTGTTAGAAGCTGCTTTATTAAACCTAGCTGGTATTTTTGGCCCGCAATAGGGAAAATGTCGTGATGAACTTACTTCTAAAGATTCTGATGCTACAACAAACCGCTCAAGTACCCGGAGAGAAGCTAATAAAGCTGCCAAATCAGGGTTCTGCAACCCGCCATATACAGAAAGTCGCAGTACAGACAGACATGGAGTACGCTTGAAGCATAGTTTCTGCATTTCCCCCTCAAAGTTGAACAGCTTGAGCCGCGGAGCATCTAGCTCAAGCTTTTCAAGGCCAGTGCAGGAGACTATAAGCATACTTGCAAGCAATGGGCACTTGGGAAGGAAATTCTCACAGAAGTCTGATGGCACGTTTACTCTAATTAGACGGAGTTTTTTAAGCTGACCGAACCCAACAAACCACGGTGGTACCACGAACAAACAACGTTCCAGTTTCAGATAATTCAGTCGAGGAGCAGCGAACAACGAGGATGGCAGCCTGTACCAGCTGTGACTGTGAGAGTCTTTACTGGAAAGGACAAGGGTGAAATGCTGGAGGACACCTATGCCAGAAAGATGCACAATGATGTGATCAATCTCGTGGCAGGGGTTCAATCCGGGAACTGCAAGCACGAACTTGATCACCGGCCCATCGCGAGCCAGCAGAGACTTGTAGATGTTCGGAACCAACTTATCGTTCGGTTCAGTCGGAGCGAACCCATCGTCGAACACAAGTTGAGGAATGCTTCTCCAGTGACGCCTCCAGGTGCTTGACAAGAGAGCTGTTCTGGCTGCATCTTTGATGGGCAACAACATGAGGATGTTATGTATCACATTCTCAGGAAGCCGGCTAATTAGTTCGTTTTCGTCACTAGGCTCGCCAACCCACTCCATCGATCTTTCTGCCTAGCTATTAAAATTTATTGCAGACAAAGTCCGCCCTGCAACTAAAATTAACCTAAAAGTTCGTTAGTTCTCGTAAGTTGCAGCTAGCCGTCAACACCCATATATGACAAAGAACAAGGGGGGAAGTTACCTGATTCACGAAGGGTTATTTTGCAGCAAGAACGGAGAGGCTGTAAACTGCCGAGGCTAGGGCATGAGTTCGCCAGTCGCCATATATTTACAGAACAAAAGGGATCATAAGACGTGGAGTATGGGGCATCTGGAATGTTAGACCTGGACTCTTTTTGTACTGTTTACTCTTTGGTTGGTGTTTTTTGTAATTGTCCTTATATACGAGTGTGTCATGTGGTATATGGTATTAGAGTTGATTTGTCCTTGAGGTCACGTGTTCAATTTCTCATGACCTTTAATATTAATTCTTGTGTTTAAAGCACATGGTATGGCGGGTCTGTGCAAATTTCAAGCCCATGAGTTGGCTTTCATTTGAGATTAAGTTTTTCTTGGAGCTTTTCCACGTGTTTTTAAGAAGATAATGATGATTCTTGAAGTGTTCATTCACCAAATCCAAATTTACTACAGCAGGCGAGATACACACTTGAACAGCTACTCACCTGAAGTATTGATACTACAAAAGAAACGAACACTTTCAAGCCAAATATCGAAAGTAGAAACCAAAGAAAGCCAACGACGCATAAAAACTCGAACAATAAGAAAAAAAGGTATCCTACAGATCCAGCGCTTAACATATAATCCCATCATATCTGCGAAAGGATGATTTCCAAGACAACGAAGCAAAATGGCAAATGGCAGCTTCAGTCCTCCTCGTCATTCCAGTCATATATGACTACCGCTTCTCTGGAAACACGCTTGTACTGCATTACTTCCTTCATGAATTTGATGACCAATTTGGAGCACAGCCGATGAAGAGGCTTGATTTGAATCCTCAGAAGTAGTGGGGCCGTGGCTAGGACGAACCTCACTAGCTCAAGATCAACTCCTGTACCAAGGCTACCATCAATATCAAACAATTTAAGACGCTGCAAACAGCAACCGGATTGGGGCCGCGTGACACTTTCCAACAAGCTCTGCGTGCTAGGTGGTCTGAAGCGCTGCAAGAGCATTTGACAAAGAACGAGGTCAGGCCAGATGCCAGACACAATACTTTCATGTTCAATATATGTAACTCATGAAGTCGGCAACCAGACTTTGGCACATTGAAAGAACAAGAAAGGACCTTAATTGTGAGCTCACGCAAGTTGGGGGAATTCATGATTAGGTAATTAAGAACACGCTTCATCTCCAAATCATCATAGCTCAGAGAAGTTAAATTCAGGAATGTCAAGTTGTGAAGGGGGAGCGTCATAGGTACTTCACCACCTTTAGCAATTACCTGAGAGAAGACCATACAAGAACGTATCACATTGATCAGCTGCTTCATTCAAAGTAGAGAAACCCAGCTGGTTATTTTGGCAACAAAATCAAAATGTCATGAGTAACTTACTTCAAGGACCTCAGATGATACATACAAACGCTGAAGTACCTGGGTAGAGGCTAATAAATCCACAAATTCAGGGCTTTCCAACCTATTCACCAGAAGTATTAGTTCGGACAGAAGTGGAGTATGCATGAAGCACAGTTTCTGTAAATTCCCAAAAAAGATGAACACTTCGAGTCGTGGAGCATCTAGTTCAAGATTTGTAGGGCCCGTGCAACTGACCATTTTCAAACTCTTTATCATTGGGCACTTTGGAAGAAAACTCTCAAAGAAATCAGATGGCAGGCTTACTTCTTGTAAGAAAAGACATGTAAGCTTACTAAATCCAACAAACCATGTCGGCGCCATCAACAAACAATTTTCCAGTTCCAGACGATTCAGTAGTGGAGCAGTAAACAAGGAGGAAGGCAGCTTGTACATGACAAAACCTTTGGAAAACACAAAGGTTAATTCTTGGATACCTCTTCCAGAAAGATGAACAATGATGTGATCAATCCCATCACAGGAGGTTAATCCAGGAATTGCAAGCACAAACTTGGTCACCGGCCCATCGTGAAGCAACAAAGATTGGTAAATGTTCAGAATTAACTTATTCATCATGCCAGGACCACTGATTTGTGCGAAACCATTACGAAATACAAGTTGAGGAACACTTCTCCAATGGCCCCGCCAGTTTGTTGACATGATGGCTGTTCTTGCTGCATCTTTTATTGGTAGCAGCATCAGAATGTTATGTATAACATTTTGAGGAAGCTGACAAATTCTGCCATTGCTCAACTCGCCAACCCCCTTCATCCTATTGCAATGCTCTGCATATAATCAATCAAACAAGAAGTATTCATCAATAATCAGTTATACGGATGGCTATCAAGGAAGAAATGGTTTGTCACTGCTTGTTCACCTTCTTGATTTCACTTACAAGTAAGTTGCAATGATGCCACGGACCCTTCTGTTCTGATTTTCAATTACGGTACAGGGAATGATCAAAGGCCCATCCATATAAATATAATAAACAGAGGAAGAAGAAGAAGTGGGAAAAAGGCAGGCGGCTGATGCAAGATCTTAGGGGACTGGAAAAGAATTATAGGGCATTAAACACACTTTGATTCTATACAATTCATATAAATGGAATGCAGCCTTCTGGCATTCCCAAGAGAGCATGATAGAAGGAATTTGGACTGTCCATCTGAATTACGCCTCGTAGTTTTTGGTATTCCACCATGCATGCATGATGCAACAGATCCTTTGTACTTCACTCCAAGAGTCATGGTTCCAAATTATTGGTGAGACATTTATGATTTACGACTTCCTAGCAATAAAGATGGAATACGTTGAATTGTTTGACAATGCTGCTAGATCTGTAGCCTGCACTACATTGTTCCCACTCAAATTACTACTCTCTTTATTTCCCTTTTCAAGTAGATAATTGACTTGCAGACAGAGACTGAGTCTGGATCAGACAAAGGATAGCAAGAAATTCTCGTTCAGTATCACAAGAAAGGTTATGACCCTAGCCTTTTCCTGAAGTGTCATGACAGTCTCCTATGCCCTTCATTCACAATCACAAAATGGAATAGTGAAAAAAGGTTGATCTCATCTCACTAACCCTTCACAAGCATTACAAGCACGTTAATTTCATGCATCACAAGCACGCTTGATGTTTCTGAGACCAGATAATTGTTTCTTTGCTATTGTCCACAAAATCAGTTGAGTTCATCAATCAAGACACCAATGGCGCATCTAGTATGCTGAGGAAATTCGGAGATTAAGCATACATAGCAGCAATAACAAACAAATAAAATGTTCAGGCAAAAAAACAAACTGAAACCAATCAGATTATTTGGAAGCATGCTCACAATGTGTCACCTCCTTTCTGAAACTGACAGCCGTTAGAATTTTCGGGATTCGATTTCAGCTTGATCACAACTTCACCATCTCCAGCTCGATCTGAGTACCCCGAGTTCTCATGATGAACTTTTCAAGGAACTGAAAACAAGTTGCAGGAATGTCCATCTGAATACGGCTTGGAAAGAATCAGATGCTTTGAACTTCACTTCAAGAGACGTGGTTACTACAAACCTACTAGGGGTGTTGATAACAGACCTAATGACATGAAATCGCCACCGAACCCACTTCACTCAATCCCAAGAAAAAGCTTCCACCATTTCAATGCATAGTAACTTGTTCCAAACAACTGGAAAAATTCTACCATTCTGCTTACTAAGTTGTCATGCTGCAGGTTTGATGGATTCCACAAACCCACTGCTGAGCAGCCGCTCCACGTACTTGCCCAGAATGTCCACCTCCAAGTTCACCTTCTGCCCAACATTCTTGAAAGGGATCACAACCTTCTGCTGCGTATAAGCCACGAGCATGAAATTGAAGCAGCTCTCCTCATCAAACACATCCACCACCGTCAGACTCGTCCCGTCCACCGCGATAAACCCTTTCGGAACAACATACTTCAACAGCCCTCTGTCCACCTTCACCTTCACCCACAGCGAATCCCCTTCTGTATCCTTGCCAACAATCTCCCCCGTCCCGTCCACATGTCCCTGCACGAAATGCCCGCCCATCCGGCTCGTGGGCTGAACCGCCCGCTCCAAGTTCACCGCCGAACCGGCCTCGAGCTCTATCAGGGACGTCTTCCGAAGAGTCTCAGGGGATAACCCCACGGTGAAGTCTTCGTCGGTGAACTCGGTCACCGTGAGGCAGGTGCCGTTGACGGCGATGCTGTCGCCGAGATGGACGCCCTCGAGGACGGTGCTGGCTCGGATCTTGAGGTCGAATCCGCCGTCGGCGGTGCTGCCCAGGTGCTTGACTTGCCCCATTTCTTCGACGATTCCAGTGAAGAGCGATCGGACGGTCGAGGAGGGAAATCGGGTTTGGGGCTGGGATTTAGGGGTTCTGGTGAAGAAGAGAGATCGTGTGCTGGGATTCGAAATTGATGTGGAGAATTTGAGGTTGGACTTTTGTGGGAGTAGATTCAGTACTGTGATTGTGATTGCAGTTGGAGATGATGGGCGACTTCTCATGGGACAGCAAATCCTACTGGGAGCTTTGACCAGAGATGAGAAAGAAGAACAGACTGCCATTTCTGTCTTCTTCTGGATACAGTCGAGTGAGACGCTCCAAAAGGATACCCGATTTTGCGGCGGGACGATTGGAAAAGGAATTGGAGAAGCAGATGGGAAGAAAGATTCTGCAAAAAAAAATGGCAATGTCTATTTTTTATCCAAACCTTTTTCAGATTTTTTTATTTTAACCAAACCTATAGAAATTCTATTTATTATCAAAACGTATTATAATTTATTAAAAGAATCTGAAAAAGCTTTGTCTAAAAAATAGACATTGCCCAAAAAAATCCTCAGGTGGGAGATGTTTGTTTTTGCCCTAGGTAGATAGAAGAGCGCTTTCGTCCGTCGTGGAGCTTTGTCTCTCGAGCTGCCTGCAACAGAGTCGCCAATTCCCTAGCCGATTTGTTTATTGGGCTGCATCAATTGGTATCTTGGATAGTCAGGCTCAGGGCCCATCTTCTGTTCTGACTTTAATTAAATGATATAATGGGCCCGTAAAGGCCCTCTTTTACTAATGAATCAGGTTTACATGGAAATGTTATCCAATTACATGAAAATGAAAAGAAACTATACATTTTTTTTAATTTCATCCATGAACTATCCATAATAAAAAAAATTTCATAAAAATAGGTTAGTGTTTCAAAAATTAAACTAAAATAAAATTTGGGACACAATTGTTTACGGTGATGTGGAAGCTACATCATCAAATTATGTTGAGTCAACGAAAAAAATTCCCTCCTGTGGGATGTCACTATGAAAATTATTTAAAAAAAACAGGAAAAACAATTTTTTATTACTTTTTTTTTTGTAGTGAAAGGGAGCGAGACGGCGCTCTATTACTTATATTTTCGTGCTTATGTAATTTATTTGTAAATAAAATTGTGTTTCTATAATAGACCTATTTAAGTTCATATAACTTTAGATTCAATATCTATTCTACAATGAAGTGAATAGATCATCAAGTTTATTTTATTAGTTTCGTGACAAATAGAGTTCATTTTATTGGTTAGCTACTTTATATATAATTATGATTTATAGTTTATAGCATGTAGGTTTGTGGATTGAAATCTTTTAGAGTAATGATTACTTAAATGTTTTTTTTTTTTTTGCCAAAGTTATTCCGAGAGGGAAGCAGCGAAGATACGACAAAATACAAGGCCTCCTAAGACCAGGCTAGGAAAATTAAATAAATAAAACACGATGGTCGACAAGTGTCTGCACCATCGCTCCAAGGGCTTGTCTTGCCACGAAATGGGCAGCCCTATTATACCTACGGGGTGCAAAATGGAACGTAGCACGAAGGGCTTCTTTCCTTCGTACTTAAATGTTTATTTATTTTTAGTTGTAGTGAAACTTAGGAGGGGAAGTTGAAATAATAAAAATAATATGAAAAATCAAACTGACAATTAAAATTCAATAGTGTAAATTAACTTAACAAGTTACGACATGAATGAAGAATTTGAAGAGTCAGACAATACATAACTTTTACTACGATCAATGATTTATGACAAGAATAAATAATTTGAAGAGACGAACAAAACATTCTAAAAGAGAAATTCTTGGCTACTCCCGGTGTACCACATAGGTTGTACACCGCCCAAATTAAAACATGACACCTGTAAATTCTTGGCCTCCACTGCCGTCGTTCGTCATTCCTTGCAACAGCTCCACTGACAGCGTTCCTCGCCGGCGTGAAGCCTCTTTTACCGATTCTTCCCGGTAGAAGCACCGGAAGCACCCAAAAAATCTTGGCTACTCCTGGTGTACCAGACAGGATATACACCGCCCCAATTACAAACGTGTTAATCTTTGATTGGGGCGGTGCACCCAAGAAAATTAACTGATACTGGAAAATTAAGTGACTATTTTTGTAAAAAATGAAAACTAATAATAAGTGATCAAATTGTTAACAACCCAAAGTCAAATGACCATTTACGACAAACACGCGCAATTGTTGAAAGAAACAGAGGGAAACGTTTCTCATTCCAGAAAAGGGATTAGGGTTCTACCGTCGTGGCTCCATTTCCGTCTGTTTCTACCCTCCTTTGTACAGATAGAGAAAAGACTTCGGTCAACAGTTGTTTGTTGTGAAGGCTGAGAATCGATCTCCTGTGGCGATTTGGTGCAGGGGAAGACCAAGGATGACGACGCGACTCCGTGAATCCACTGCTGATAGGATTAGCAACCTCCCCGACGGCGCGATAGAGCGGATTCTGGTGTTCTTGCCGATAAAAGATGCAGCTAAAACCAGCCTCTTGTCAAGATACTGGAGACATCGTTGGAGAAGTATTCCTCAACTTGTGTTCGATGATAGGTTTGCTCCACTTGCTAAAAAAGCTGGTGGGAAGGATGTAGTGATGAAAATTTACGCAGCTCTGCTGGCTCATGATGGGCTGCTGACTAAGTTTGAGCTCTCAATTCCTGGATATAGGCGCCACCTTCCGCTTGATCTCTTGATGCTTCACCTTTCTAGGAAAGGTGTCCAGGAGCTTAGCCTTCTCTTCGAGGACTACGGTTCCCCCAATTTGCATTCCTCCCTGTTCTCTGCAGCCTTTCCCCTGAAGCGTCTTGAACTGAAGGGTTGCGAATTCACGGTGCCATCTGGGTTTGCAGGATTTAGTAAGCTTACCTTTCTCCAATTGGAAAACGTGGGTCTGCCCGAGGATTTCTTTGAGAATGTCATTCCGAAGTTCCCGCTGCTGGAAGAGTTGAGGGTTGCATACTGCGACGATACAGAGCCTGTGTTTGAATCACATTCTCTCAAAGTTCTTTTCTTCCACTCTAGCTTTATGAATATTTGCTTCAAGGATACCCCTGTTCTTTCGGTGCTATCAGTGCTAGATACCGATTTGTTTTGTGGGGAAGGAGAACCATCTGAGGATGATTATTTGGATATGGTCCCTTTCTTTGCATCTCTCCCTGCAATTCAGCAGTTGAATCTTGGCATTGAATTGCTACTAGTAAGTTAATTTGCTTCATTGCTTGTTCATTAGTTACCTCCTCCTATAACTGGCTTCTCTAATCATTTCCATGCTGCTATCCCCAGTTGCTTGCTGCTGGTTGTGTCCCCTACCGGCTGCCTACAGATCTTCACCACTTAGAAGTCCTGGCAGTACCTCGTCTTCGTTTGGATAGGTTGCCACAGGCCCGGATTCTTGTTTGTCTGATCATGAGTTCGCCCAACTTGCAAACACTCACCATTCAGGTTCGTTTTCTTAAGACCTTAAACGTCTCTTGTACGAATTACTACATATGGGTATGGCTGTTAAGTGTCAACTCGGCAGCTTAAACCTGTACGTTGATGACTGTTTTTGTAGATTGATGATGATCGTCATCATCCGCCTTCAGAGGTTGTTGCTAGCCTACAACAGTTGTTGGAAGCAGACGACCAACCTGGAGTTTGTTGCCTTCAACATCTTGAAGAGTTCAACATTCAGGATGGCCGTGGTATGCAAGTCGAGCTAGACTTGGTGAGGTTTGTACTCGCCACTGCCCCGAAGCTTCGTAGGATCTCTATTAAGCCGCACGATAAGCTGTCTTCTGGAAAGGTTTTGAAATTCTTGAAGAATGCAGCATTATGTAAACGTATTTCCAGAGATGCTGAGCTTAGATATGTCTGTGAAGATGAAGATGAGGATGAGGTCGAGGATGCCACGATGTCGCCTTTACATTAGTACAACACATTAACAAGTGTATGGGTAGATTTATTTTCAGTCACACCATGACTCGAAGAGAATGATTTGTTCTTGTTATTCTAGTCACTGCCCCAATCCTTGTCCTTGGTTAGATATCCATTAAGCTTGAAGTTAACTTGTCCGCTGTAGAGGGTATGAAACTCCTGAAAGAGGTGACATTATATAGCGCATTTTAAAAGAGGCAGATGCCAGATATCTCCAGAGTGAATGAGATCAATATACATTGCAGCTTTACCTCTCCCACTCACCCTTTGGGTTGTTTTCCACCTTTGATGGTGCTTGATGTTAACTTTTCTTTCTCTCTTGTTGGCAACTGATGTGAGCCTGCATGATCAAAATTACTCGCCTTGCCTTTTACCTCCTTGCTTCTCGTTCCTTCCATGAGTATGACTACTTGACAGAATCTAAGAGTTTGTTACAGTATTTATGGCTTGATTTCCCTGGACAAAGATTAGCAGGTGAGAGAGAACGGGTTTTGTAGATTATTCTGTTCTAGGTCCCCTTTTACGAACTTGGATTCAATTGCAGAGATCTAGCAAAGATGATTTGCTGCTCGCTCTTGCATCAGGATGGCGTTCTTCCTCTAAATGTCTTTTTGGCTTATACCGTCATGCAGAAGTACGAACATTCGTGTATTATGCAGCCAGGAGGAAGAGGAGTCGAGAGAGCACTTGTATTTTCAATGCTCGTTCTCCAAAGAAGTGGCTGCTTGCGGAGTAAATTTCCCAATTCCTCTGCAGCAGACATGGGAAGGGTGTTTGGAGGATGCTTGTGGGCGAATTAAGGGGAATACTGAGATTGGTAGGGTATATGCAGTACCATGGAGTGCAATTGTAGCACGTATTTGGTATGTAATCGTTGTCATGCGGCAGCTCTTATAGCCCCTGAGGAGATTGTTAGGCATATTAAAGCGTGGGACAGAGGGGCAGTTGAAAATGGAGTTACAGCAGTTAGGAATGCTGGTAATGTATGTAGATAGGTTGAGATGAGTAGCAGATTTACGTCCCATAGTATGGGGTGACTTCGTTGTAATTGGATCATTTTAGGTTTAAGACCCGGCTTAATGAGATTGGATCTGATTCAACGAAAAAAAATTATATATTTTTTTCTACATAAAAGAAAACTCATTCATTTAAGTGTTATTCGCGAATAGGCAAGATCACAAAGACTAAGCTGTACTCTTGTAGACTATAGAGGGCACGGAAAGAAGTACAAAATTAAATTTTCAATTTTTTTGGATTCAAAATGAAAAAAAGAAAAGAATATGTGGAAAATATAAAAAATTTTAAGTGAAAGGTGCTGATTTGGCGGCGACGTAGCACGTTGATAATTAGTCAACGTGTTTGACCGTCCAAGATAACGGTCAATTTTGGGGTTTGGCCAATTTCATTATTTTGATGTATAGTTCAGACAATAATGTTATAGATCGAAAAGATTGATTAGGATGTTTATTATATGAAAAGTTCAGGCCATACAAACGGAAAATTAACTAGTATTGTAAAGTTAAGTGACTGTTTTTGTTAAAAATGAAAGGTAAGTGGTCAGGTTGTTAACAACCTAAAGTAAAAGTACCATTTACGACAAACTCGCGCAAGTTGAAAGAAAGAGAGGGAAACGGACTCAAAACAGAAAAGGGGATTAGGGTTCTACCGTAGTGCTCCATTTCCCTCTGCTATGTTTCTCTCTCCTTCGTAGAGATAGAGAAAAAGACTTCGATCAACAGTCGTTCATTGTGAAGGCTGGGAATCGATCTCCCGTGGTGATTTGGTGCAGGGGAAGAGGAAGGATGACGACGCGGCTCCGTGAATCGACTGCTGATAGGATTAGCAACCTTCCCGACGGCGCAATAGAGCGGATTCTGGTGTTCTTACCGATAAAAGATGCAGCTAAAACCAGCCTCTTGTCAAGATACTGGAGACATCGTTGGAGAAGTATTCCTCAACTTATGTTCGATGATAGGTTTGCTCCAAATGGTAATTTAGCGGATGATGGGAAGGAGGTAATGATGAAGATTTACGAAGCTCTGCTGGCTCATGATGGGCTGCTAACCAAGTTTGAGGTCTCAATTCCTGGATATAGGCGCCGCCTTCCTCCCCTTGATCTCTTGATGCTTCACCTTTCTAGGAAAGGCGTCCAGGAGCTTACCCTTCGCTTTCCGGACGACGATTACCGCAAATTGCATTGCTCCCTGTTCTCTGCAGCCTTTCCCCTGAAGCGTCTCAAACTGCAGCGTTGTGAACTCAAGGTACCATCTGGGTTTGCGGGATTTAACAAGCTTAACCTTCTTGAATTGGAAGACGTTAGTTTGCCTGACGATTTCTATCAGAATTTGCTTCCGTGCTGCCCGCTGCTCGAAGAGTTGAGGGTTATCGGTTGCACCGGTGAAGAGCATGTGTTTGTCGCGCCTTCTCTGAAAGTACTATTATTTCACTCAAGTCTTCTTAAAATTTCCTTCAAGTGTACCCCGCTTCTTTCGGTGCTATCAGTTCTAGACACTGATGAATATACTTTTGAGGAAGACTCCTTTCTGGACAGTAATTCGGATATGGTTGGCTTATTTGCATCTCTCCCTGCTCTTCAGCACCTCAATCTTGGCATTGAATTGCTGCTAGTAAGTTCAATTTTTTCTCTTGGTACCTATTCATTAATTACCACGGCCATCTCTAATCGTTAACATGCTTGCTGCTCTGTGCTTTCTTTTCCAGTTCCTTGCTGCTGATGATCATGTCCCCTACAAGCTTCCTCAACCTCTCCACAACCTGAGATTCCTCGAAGTACCTCGCATTCTGTTGCATAGGTTGCCACAGGCGCGGGTTCTTGTTTGTCTGATCATGAGCGCCCCCAACTTGGAAAGACTCACAATTCGGGTTGGTTTTTTGGTGTGAATTGCTACTTCTCTTGCATGATAAGTATGGCTTTAAAGAACCATAGCCTTGACATAGGTTCCTTGATGAATATTGTTGTAGCTCGATGATATTGACGAACATCCGCCTTCAAAGGCTATCGGTAGCCTGCAGAAGTTGTTGGAAGCAGAGGACCAACTTGGATTTTGTTGCCTTCAACATCTGGAAGAGGTCAACATTCATGACAGTCGTGGTAGGCAAGTCGAGTTGGACCTGGTGAGGTTTGTTCTGGCCACTGCCCCTGTACTTCGCAGGATTAACATTCAGCGCAAAGAAAAGCTGTCTTCTAAAAAGGCTCTGAAATTCTTGAATGAGATGATAGTATATAAGCGTATTTCAAAAGAAGCCGAGATAAAATATGTCTAGAATGGCGAGTTTGAAACTTAGGTTGTTAATCTAATTTATGGTGCTTCGTCTTATGTTTCATTTTCTAGTTTGCAAATGATGTGAGGGTGCTTGATCGAACTTAGTTTAAGTGCAGAAGGTTTGCAGGGTGATTGTTATTGTTAGAACGGCTAAATTGCAAGTTTGGTCACTGGAATTACTTAAAAATTTCACGTTTGCCACTAAAATTAATTTATTCCATCCGTAGTCACTTAAATTAGGTTAACAGTTCAAGTTTGGTCACTGGCCGTTAGTCTCCGTTAACTTTTGCTGATGTGGCGGTCAACTCTTATAGTTGACCGTTAAATGAGTGACGTGGCAATTAAAAAATTAATAAAATAATTTAATTTAATAATTTTTTATTTTCCACCTAATTATTATAAAAATAAAAAATCTAATTCCTTTTTAATTATTATTTTCAACCGCCCGTCGCCGTTCCTCACCCCTCCAGTCGACGACCTCTCCCGGCCGGCGAAGCCCCGCGCCATCACCGTCTTGGGGTCGTACTCAGGTGAAAAAGCGGAGAGCTTGACGCCGGTCAAGAGAAAGCGGTTGTGATTGCGTGTCAGCTCGTTATTGGCTGCGTGGATGGGGACGTCGCACTCCCGGCAGAGTATCGCCCTGTCTTCCCGGCAGAACAGGAACGCCCTTCTCCTGTTTCATGAAGCTGATTTTTCTTAGTAGAAGGATCTTACACCTTGACGGTGAATTCCAACACATGGGTCAGATTTCACAATGAGTAAATCTCAAACCTTGACGGTGAATTCATGGATAGATTTCTCGGGGACGGATGCTGAAACCCCCATTCCTCAAAAAGCGACACCCGCCGGTTGCTACCGTCGAAGCAGAGGCGGTGTGGGAACGGTGGTGCTATCGCGACGAGGGAGAGAGAGAGAGGAGGCGTCGATTGGAATTGGAACTCCAAAAAGGATCGATATTTTTGTTTCCTTTTCCCTCTTCCTATCTTGATGAAAGCTTATCCCTATACGATTAATTGACACGCAATCACAACCGCTTTCTCTTGACCGGCGTCAAGCTCTCCGCTTTTTCACCTGAGTACGACCCCAAGACGGTGATGGCGCGGGACTTTGCCGGCCGGGAGAGGTCGTCGACCGGAGGGGTGAGGAACGGCCACGGGCGGTTGAAAATAATAATTAAAAGGAATTAGATTTTTTATTTTTATAATAATTAGGTGGAAAATAAAAAATTATTAAATTAAATTATTTTATTAATTTTTTAATTGCCACGTCACTCATTTAACGGTCAACTATAAGAGTTGACCGCCACATCAGCAAAAGTTAACAGAGATTAACGGCCAGTGACCAAACTTGAACTGTTAACTTAATTTAAGTGACTACGGATGGAATAAATTAATTTTAGTGGCAAACGTGAAATTTTTAAGTAATTCCAGTGACCAAACTTGCAATTTAGCCTGTTAGAACTTATTAGAACAGAAAAAGGAGGTTGTTCTTAGTTGTGACTACTTGCTAGCATTGCTTTGCATCTTTGCTTCTAACCTAGCAGCTAGCGCCAGCACCACCCTTAGTAGAACGTATAACTGTTAATAGCCTTATCTACACAGTAGAGTTGTTTGGCTGCATCTTTGGTGGGTAAAAGCCAGAGAATGTGCTCGATCATGTCGATAGGATGATTACTGATTCTGTCAACGATGCACAACGTATGTTCATGGTTGTTTTGAGAAGAAAAGTATCGATTTCGAGAAAGAGAGGAATGCAAAATCCGTTATCTGTACTAGCATTTTACCCGGCTCGTTGGCCGGAGATGTTCACTTTATCATTGACATTAATTCAATTTATCTATATGTTTAAACTATTTTAGACCTTCTAAATTTATTATATTTTGTATTGATAAGTGAGTATGTGGTGTGTCTATATATTGAAAATTCTCAATACATAGCACATTCACTTATACTGTTTGAATTCTCTAATCATAAATCATGTCACAAAGGTATACCACGTCCATGTACAATTTTTTCTATCTTATATGAATCAATGTTGTTCAGATGAGGACATCTTACGGAGAGTTTCTTTGTATATATACTTTATTATTGGATAAATTTCTTCATCCCAATTTAAAGTTGACACTTTGAATGTTCATGAAGTTTACTGTAAGATCTTATTTGTATTTAGTCTCTTATACAATATGTATCAATTGCTAATTTTTGAAAAGTAATTTGGACTAACTAAGACTCATTATCGTTGATTATATATTGTTTTAGAATCTCAATCCAAGATACTCACATACGGATTTTGATCTTAATATGGTGTGTTAGTGTATAATTTTACAACTTGTAGAACCTCCATTTGCTAAAATTTATTTATGTTTGGTATTTGTTTAGAAATAAAATTTCATTACTTATACTAATATATGCATTTTTGTATTGCCACATTTATTGTCAATATATAAGCATATATATTAAAAAGAGTTTAAAATTTTTTAAGTGAAAGGTGCTGATTTGGCCGTGATGTAGCACGATGACTGTTAGTCAACGCGTTTGACCGTTCAAGATAACGGTCAATTTTTGGGTTTGCCCAATTTCGTTACTTTGATGTATAGTTCAGACCATAATGTTATAGATCGAAAAAATTGGTGATGATGTTTATTATATGAAAAGTTCAGGCCATACAAATATCTGAAACGCTATTCGTCGCCCTAAAATGCACCTAATTGACCCTTTTATCCTCCCGCCTCAATTTCTAACCAAAACCCTAAACGAACGGTCTCTTACCCTGCCAGCCGTCGAGCTTCCTTTGTACTCCGCCCGCTGCTGCTGCTACCAGATTCCTCTCGCCAACAGCTGACCACCGCCGCTTCCCTACTACTGCTGCCGGATTCTACTGTTTAAATATATGTACAATATGATAAAGAGTGGTCAAGACTTGGATCTCTTTGTATATATGATTCATTTAATAATGTCTTTGGATTCCTTGTAATTCCTCTTCTTGATTAAACCATTCGCAGTATTAGGACTCTGATTTCATTGGAGAAAGACAGATTTATGCTTTCAGTTGCAGTTGCAGCCGTCCACATTAGCTATGTGCCTATGCATATCATATAATTGGAAGGAAAGGGGGAAAGGGATCCAGCCTGCCGACCTGTCGCCAGCTCGTCGAAAATGAGTTTTCAATCCATTCGGCGATTCCAACGGCGGGTACGAAACATACCCGGATAGGGAAAGTCCTTTGAAAATAGGAAATAGAGATGAGACACAAATTAAATTAAGGATATTTGAGTTATTTTAATAAAAATTAGGGCGACTTATAAGTTATTTTAGGGCGACGAATAGCAATGCCCTTAACCCTAAAATTAACCAGTACTGTAAAGTTAAGTGACTGTTTTTGTTAAAAATGAAAGGTAAGTGGTCAGGTTGTTAACAACCTAAAGTAAAAGTACCATTTACGACAAACTCGCGCAAGTTCAAAGAAAGAGAGGGAAACGGACTCAAAAGTCAAAACAGAAAAGGGGATTAGGGTTCTACCGTAGAGATAGAGAAAAAGGCTTCGATCAACAGTTGTTCATTGTGAAGGCTGGGAATCGATCTCCTGTGGTGATTTGGTGCAGGGGAAGAGCAAGGATGACGACGCGACTCCGTGAATCGACTGCTGATAGGATTAGCAACCTTCCCGACGGCGCGATAGAGCGGATTCTGGTGTTCTTACCCATAAAAGATGCAGCAAAAACCAGCCTCTTGTCAAGAGACTGGAGACATCGTTGGAGAAGTATTCCTCAACTTGTGTTCGATGATAGGTTTGCTCCACTTCCTGAAGAAGATGATTGTGGTAATATAGCGGATGATGGGAAGGATGTAGTGTTGAAGATTTACGAAGCTCTGCTGACTCATGATGGGCTGCTAACCAAATTTGAGCTCTCAATTCCTGAATTTAGGCGTCAAATTCCGCTTGATCTCTTGATCCTTCACCTTTCTAGGAAAGCCGTCCAGGAGCTTGCCCTTCTCTTTGAGGACGACAATTACCCCAAATTGCACTCCTCCCTGTTCTCTCCAGCCTTTCCCCTGAAGCGTCTTAAACTGAAGGGTTGCGAATTCAAGGTACCGTCTGGGTTTGCGGGATTTAACAAGCTTACCCTTCTTGAATTAGAAGATGTTGTTTTGCCTGACGATTTCTATCAGAATTTCCTTCCTTGCTGCCCGCTGCTCGAAGAGTTGAGGGTTATCGATTGCACCGGTGAAGCGCATGTGTTTGTCTCGCCTTCTCTGAAAGTGCTTTTGTTTCACTCATGTCTTTCTAAAATATGCTTCAAGTATACCCCACTTCTTTCGGTGGTATCAGTTTTAGACACTAATGAATATACTTATGAGGCAGGCTCCTTTGTGAAGGATAATTCGGATATGGTTGACTTATTTGCATCTCTCCCTGCGCTTCAGCACCTCAATCTTGGCATTGAATTGCTGCTAGTAAGTTCAATTTTTCTCTCGGTGCTTAGTCATTAGTTACCTCGGGCTTCTCTACTCGTTAACATGCTGCTCTCTGCTTCCTTTACCTAGTTCCTTGCTGATGATGATCATGTCCCCTACAAGCTTCCTAAACCTCTCCACAACCTGAGATTCCTGGAAGTACCTCGCATTCTGTTGCATAGGTTGCCACAGGCGCGGGTTCTTGTTTGTCTGATCATGAGCGCCCCCAACTTGAAAAGACTCACAATTCGGGTAGGTTTTGTTGCGAATTGCTACTTCTCTTTGCATGATAAGTATGGCTGTAAAGAACCATATCCGTGACATAGGTTCCGTGATGAATATTGTTGTAGCTCGATGATAGTGACGAACATCCGCCTTCGAAGGTTATCGGTAGCCTGCAGAAGTTGTTAGAAGCAGAGGACCAACTTGGATTTTGTTGCCTTCAACATCTGGAAGAGGTCAACATTCATGACAGTCGTGGTATGCAAGTCGAGTTGGACCTGGTGAGGTTTGTTCTGGCCACTGCCCCTGTACTTCGCAGGATCAACATTCAGCGCAAAGAAAAGCTGTCTTCTAAAAAGGCTCTGAAATTCTTGAATGAGATGATAGTATATAAGCGTATTTCAAAAGAAGCCGAGATAAAATATGTCTAGAATGGCGAGGTTGAAACTTAGGTCGTTAATCTAATTTATGGTGCTTCGTCTTATATTTTATTTTCTAGTTTGCAAATGATGTGAGGGTGCTTGATCGAACTTAGTTTAAGTGCAGAAGGTGTGCAGCAGGGTAATTGTTACTGTTAGAACTTAGAACAGAAAAAGGAGGTTGTTCTTAGTTGTGACTACTTACTAGCATTGCTTTGCATCTTTGCTTCTAACCTAGCAGCTAGCGCCAGTACCACCCTTAGTAGAACGTATAACTGTTAATAGCCCTACCTACACAGTAGAGTTGTTATGCTGCATCTTTGGTGGGTAAAAGCCAGAGACTGTGCTCGATAATGTCGACAGGATGATTACTGATTCTGTCAACAAGGCACGAAGTATGTTCATGGTTGTTTTGACAAGAAAAATATCGATTTTGAGAAAGAGAGGAATGCAAAATCTGTTATCTGTATATTAAGGATGCATGTGAACGTCTTCGAGAGGGAATGTGATTAGCAAGGTTGTCAACTCGGTTTGGCCTCCTGACCCAGTCAAATAAATGGGATGAGGATTGATGATCTGATCGCTTTAGCCCGAATATATGAAAATGATAATTATGTTGTTCATATATTTATAAATTATATCAAATCTCATTTAACATATGAGTACTTACATATTTATATATAATATATAATTAAAATTCACTTGTTTTACACTAAATATTTAATTACAAGTGAATTTTAACATATTAGTAATTACAAAGTAAATTTTAACATATAACATATTTACATATATAATTACATTTATAATTATACCAAATGATCATTAGGTCGTACTTGGACCCAACATATAATTAAAATTCACTTGTATAACATCAAATGTTCAACTTAGAATTCAAAGATATATTTAGGAGAATAGGAAAATAAGAAAGGAGGGTGCATTTTGGAAACCATAGGGAAAATGACGTACTGTGACCTCAACTCGATAACCTTGTAGCTGGTTTGACTAGACGGGTGTATAATCCATTTTCCTAACCTAGTGAGGTCAAAGCAAATCAACGGACGGGTTGACCCACAAGTGGTTAGCCATGGGTGGTTCAAAATTTGTCAGTAATTAATTAATACCATTGGTTATTAGGGATGACAACATGTCGGGTCGGGGAAGAATAGTGCATATCTGATACCCTACCCAAAGTACTTCGAATTTTAACCATACTCATATCCATACCTATACCCATATAAGAATTGGGCAGAAAAGCAAAATCATGCCCATACCCGTTCGGTTTTCGAGTATCCACGGTTATCCATGGGTAATAGTTTCTCTTTATAACTTCAATTAACATGTTAACATTCACACATATACTCACATTACAGAAGAGGAAAAGTATGAAAATTAATAAGTAGAATGAAGAAAATTAAAAATAACTCAATTTCATGAAAATATAATATTTGTATGCTAAATATAAAATATGTTGAGAACAATAATGATCATTTCTACACAAAATACATATGTATGTGTATAATCGGGCGGGTTCGGGTTGGATAGTGAGAAAACCATGCCCATCCATTACTCACAATATTCGGGTTCCGATTTTACTCGTACCCGCCAAAAATCCTTCGGGTTCGCGTTTTACCCTACCCTATTAGGTCGGATTCGGGCGGATATCCAAGTTTCAGATATTTTTGCCATCCATATTGGTTATGTCCTCGAATCAAATAACCAAGATAGAATTAATAGAGGACAAGGCTACGCGTGTGAAAAATAAGAAGGATACATTTGTCATAACAGTTATTTATTTTTTTTGTTTAAATGAATATATCAGTGTTGAAATTTGAATATGAATTTGGAAGGAAAAAAAGAATCATAACAAATTATAATAAACAAATGTGTTGTATCTTTCTAAATTAAAAGCATACAAAAAGTTAAAATATGAAAAATCAGGTGACTTTCCAGCAATATAGTCCACTAACTCTCCTTTAAAAATTTCTTTGGTATTTGATACTTATATTTTCATATTTCATTATTTTAAATCGAGTTTAATAATTAATTTAATTTTTTTCTATATTAAAAAAGATAATTTGAAAATCACAACACAAATATTATTGATGTGAATATTTCATATCAAATTGCAGTATTAAATATGTAGTAACTATGTAAAATTATTAACTTAGGATAAATTTTTAGAACTACCATGAAAGAATGATATTTTGTGCAAACTATAAGTGATCAGTTCTCTGAAAATTTTAGTTAAGTTAATTGCAAAAGCTCAAATCTCTTGCTAATCCGACATAATTGTACTCAAATATCATGAGACGAAATTGGTTATGTAGTGGTTCATTTCAACATTTTTTTTTATGTGTTAATAAATTTGTAAGGCCATGACAAGTAATTGAGCAATTAAGATGAATATGATTATGCATTTTGATTCTTTAGATAAATAAACAGTTTAAAGCATGAACTAATTTTATATTCACTTGATTAGTTGAATGAGTTTTGTTTTATCATTTATAATATTTAGTTATTATTTATAATATTTATGATGTTTGAAATCTTTTATATTTGGTTTAGAAGTATGCTTATTATTAGTGGCATTAGTGGGAGGTGGTTGAAATCTAGTATTTCACCGGGTAGTCAAAGTCAAGTACTGAGTGCATTTATTGAGTGCCTTTTAGCTTGGACTCTTGGTGTTACGAGCATGTATAAACTTATTCATGTAAATGGGTATAACTATGAATTTAAAATTTTCATTTATGATATAATATTTAGTTATTTACATATTCTCTAAAGTTAAGTAATAAGACCCATTGACACTATATGAAACACCAAATTCATGATCCAAATGTTCATATATTTCTTTTTGGAATATTCATTAGATTTCCTTTTGAAATTGCGACTGCGACGACGACAACGAGGCGGGCCAAGCAACAGAGTAGGCGCGCAAGGAATCCCTAGGGCGAGCGGCGCCACACAAGTCATGGCGGCGTCGACGAGACGGACCGAGCATCAGAGCAGCCACCGCGTGGAATCCCTAGGGTGAGCGGCGCAATTGAAGGCATGACAGTGGGGACGAGGCAGATCGAGCAGCAGAGCAGCCGCTGCGAGGAATCCCTAGGGCGAGCGGAGGAACGGAAGGTTTGCGGCAGCAACGGGCAAAGACTCCCAGGGCGAACGACGGGGACGGGTGAAGAATTCCTATGGCGAAATTTGTTTAGAGATTGGAAATATTTTTGGGGGCAAAAACGTCAAATTAGGTAATTTTGTGGCGACAAATTTAAAAAGTGAGGACATTAATTAGTATCAAAGGACATCACGATTATTTAAATTGATTATTTAGAAGGTTAATTAGTAGTTGTAGTCCTTGTTAAAGCAATATTATATTTCCTAGTTAGTGTAGGATTTGTTTTTCTATTATGGGAATGTTAGTTTCATGCTTTTGCAACCTCTATAAATAGAGGGTGTAAGACCGGGAGCAGATCAGGTGAGTAACTTTGTGGTGAGTAACCATGAGTAACACGTCCACATCAGCATGACATCAGCATCCTCTCTCTCCTGGAAAGCATTTAATTTTCCCCTCTTTAATCTTTGACGAACGATTTCTCACTCATTTTAAGTCGAAATTTAATTTTTTTTGCACAGTTAAATCAGATTAATTGTGCTCTTCAAAATGATATCCACTTTAATATATTTTTCGAACAAAAAAAATTGAGCCATTTTTTACCAGTCTATACCATATGGTATTGACTGGTATTGAAATAAAAGCATACATATGGTTTGAAAAAAGTACCATGGTGGTATGAACAAACCAAGACTGTAGGATGGTTGAATACATGATAGTAGAAATATATTAATTGTCATTTACGACTTTTAACATTGTATACCACAAGATACCACCCCGTACCAGGGTGATATTGTATGGTATTGTGTGGTATTTTTTGGTCCTATAATTTGTTCACCCATAAATTTGTAGATCCAATAGATCATGATGAACTCGTCCCTTCTGTGCAAACGTTTTCAAAAACGAATTAAAAACGAAGAAGATACCATACAATACCACCCCGTACCAGGGTGGTATTGTATGGTATTGTGTGGTATTTTTTGGTCCTGTAATTTGTTCACCCAGAAATTTGTAGATCTAATAGATCATGATGAACTCGTCCCTTCTGTGCAAACGTTTTCAAAAACGAATTAAAAATGAAGAAAATACCATATGGTATGCTGTTGGTACCGAGAGGGCATAATTTTTTGTTCTAAAAAAATATTTAAAATTGATCTCATTTTGTAGAGCACGATGAACTCGTTCCACCTGTGCAAAAAAAATTAAAATCCGAGTTAAAACGAAAAAGATATAAGTCGATTAAAAAAGCTAGAGAAAATAAAAATGATCTTTAATTCTCCATTCTTAGATCTGGATTTTCTAAATGAAGGGTTCAGATTTGGTTATTGATAGATGCATAACCCATGGTTATGCACCCTATCTTGAGCCGTGTAAGACCTACAAATTTTACCAAACAGAACATAAATAAAGACGTTTAATCTAAAGATAATCAAATTTGATTAATAATATTTATTATGAATAATTCGGTAAGTACTCAGTACTCCATTTGTTTGTTGTTTGATAGTTCCATTATTGTATCATAATTTCCCCCCTCTTTTGATTAGGGTTCTTGTGTCTAAGCTCCATCAGTCTCCCCTCTTTTGACTTCGATCACAGAGACGTTCTTTGTGAACTGAAAATCGATAACCCGTGCTGATTTTGAGCAGGAGAAGAGCGAAGTTACGACGACGCGGCTCCCCAACTCGACTGCTGATAGGATTAGCAACCTTCCTTGCAATGTGATAGAGCGAATTCTGGTCTTCTTACCGATAAAAGCTGCAGTGCAAACCAGCATCTTGTCCAGAAACTGGAGGCATCGCTGGAGAATTACTCCCCAACTTGTGTTCGATGAGAGTTTTCGAAATTGGCATGATGAGAACAAGCTAATGGTGGACATTTACGGGGCTCTGCTGCTTCATGATGGGCCAATAACCAAGTTTGAGCTTGCAATTCGTGGATCGACAGTAGAAAGTTCACAGGTTGATAGGCTGATTCTTCACCTTTCAAGGAAAGGTGTTAGGGAACTTGCCCTTTAGTTTTCTGCCTTCGACCTGAAAGCTCTGAAACTGGAGCGATGCCATTTTGGTGCACATCCCTCCTTTGTCGGATTTCGTAAGCTTAGGTATCTAGAATTGAATCACTTAATCCTGCCGAAAGGTTTCTCTGAGAATTTCCTTCCCCAGTGCACACTGCTTGAAGAGTTGAGGGTTTCAAACTGCATCAATTACAACCATGTATTCATCGAGCCATCGCTCGAAGCGATTCGCGTCGACCTCCCGTTCTTGTCTGAGAGTTTCCTTCAAGTATTCCCCACTACTTTCTGTGCTATCAGTTGTAGGAAATGATGCAATTCCCATTAGCAGCTACTCCGCTGTGAAGTACGAGCTGGATATGGTTGCTTTGTTTGCTTCTCTACCTGCACTCCAGCAGCTGACTCTTGGAATTCAATTGCTGCTGGTGAGTTTACAAACCTTTTGTTTCCTGCTGCAATTGAAATTACTTGCTTTTCAAAAAGGCTCCTGCTTTTCTCTTGACAATGCCTTGCTTCTATTTGTTTGCTTTCCACAGTTCCTTGCTTAGGGTCATGTCCCCTACCGACTTCCTGCAGCTCTGCAACGCTTGAAAGTCCTCGAAGTACCTCGTATTCTGTTGGACAGTCTGCCACAGGCGCGGGTTCTTGTTTGTTTGATCATGAGTTCCCCAAACTTGCAAACGCTCACCATTCGGGTTTGTTTTGTTGTGAATTACAACGTAGTAGGGTATGTAAGAGCATATGTTTGCTGTCTATATAGCCTTGACTTGTTCCGTGATAAATGGCTTTGCAGATTGATCCTGAAGATGGTGGCAGTTCGCCTTCAGACGTTATTGCTAGCCTACGAAATTTGTTGGAAGCAGAGGATCGACCTGGAGTTTGCTGCCTTCAACATCTTGAAGAGCTCCACATTCAGGATAGTCGTGGTACACGAGTCGAGTTGGACTTAGTGAGGTTCGTTCTGGCTACTGCTCCACAACTTCGCGGAGTGTCTATTAAGCCTAACGTTAACTTGCCCTTCGAAGAAGGTATGGAATTCTTGAAAGAGGTGGCATCATACAAGCGTATTTCCAGAGAAGCAGAGGTCACATATATCGATGAATGATGAGATTGACACTTTGTAGTTTTACCTCTCATCGGTTGGGTCGTTGTCCATCTTCTCTGAGTTTGCTTCGTCTTACGATTTTATTTTCTGGTCTGCAAATGATGTGAGGGTGTTTAATCAAAACTTAGTCCAAATGTAGAAGGAGATATGGACGTTATAAACTTGTTGAGTATCAATATACACTAATGCATAGTTCTTCCCCTCGGAATTTTCCGTTTCAAGGCTCATAGTAATCGACATAATAGAATTCTTTTTTGCTTCATAAATCGTTAGAGAATGCGCTTGATCACATCATGCAAGAAGGTTACTGATTCTATCAATGGTGCACGAAGCAAGTTCATGGTTGCTATATGCTACACAGCTTTCATGAATCCAATCAACGGAATTATGGCGGGAATGACGAGTTTGAAAGTGACGGAGAAAGGAATTGATGAAAGAGAGACAATGATCATTTTGTAAAGTTGAAGTGACTGTTCTTGTGAAAGAGAAAAAATAAGGGACTAATTTATTAACTACACAAACTCAAGTGACCGTTTACTATACAACCACGCAAATTGGCGAGAGAAAAGAGAGGGAAACATTTGTCTGGATGTTTCTCATTTCAAAATTTGGGGATTAGGGTTCTTCCGTCGATGCTCCATCTATTTCCTCTCTGTTTCTTCTCCTTCTCCGAAGGAAATGAATCCGATCAACAGATTTCGTTGTGAAGGCCGAGAACCGTTCTCCTAAGTTGATTTTGTGCAGTAAAGAGCGAGGATGGCGACGCGGCTCCGCGAGTCGACTGCTGATAGGATTAGCAATCTTCCCGACGGCGCGATAGAGCGGATTCTGGTGTTCTTACCCATAAAAGATGCAGCGAGGACCAGTCTCTTGTCAAGAGACTGGAGGAATCGTTGGAGAAGTATTCCTCAACTTGTCTTTGATGATTATTTTGCTCCAACCCCCGCAGGAAACTCTTATTTGCCGGATGAGAATAAGGTTATGATGCAAGTTTACGAAGCTCTAATGGGTCATGATGGGCCAATAGCTAAGTTTGAGCTCTCAATTTCTGGAATCAGGAACCCTAATGTTGATATCTTGATGCGTTACATTTCAAGCAAAGGTGTCCAGGAGCTTTCCCTTCTCTTTTGGGAATGCCATCATCTCCAATTGTATTCCTCCCTGTTTTTCGCCTTACCCCTCAATCGCCTGAGGCTGCAGTATTGCACTTTTAGTCTGGCATCTTCGTTCGTGGGGTTCAGTAAGCTGAACCTCGTCGAATTCAATGATGTTTTTCTGCCTGATAATTTCTATGAAAATTTCATACCGAACTGCCCGCTGCTTGAAGAGTTGAGGGTTTTCGATTGCATCGGTACCGAGCATGTGTTTGTAGCGCCGTCTCTCAAGGTTCTTTTATTTCACTCGGGGTTTGAGAAAATTTGCTTCAAGTATACCCCACTTCTTTCAGTGGTATCAGTTCTAGACACTGAAGAATTTATGTATGATGATGATTACTTTGTGAAGCATAATCCGGATATGGTCAGCTTGTTTGCATCTCTCCCTGCACTTCAGCACCTCAATCTTGGCATTGAATTACTGCTAGTAAGTTAATTTTGGCTTCTGTTTGCTTGTCCATTCACTGTGACAGCTAGCTTCTTCACTCAATCTAATGCTGCTATGCTATGTGTGGTTGCTTTTCCCAGTTCCTTGCTGATGGTCATGTCCCCTACCAACTTCCTACAGCTCTCCACAACCTGAAATTCCTCGAAGTACCTCATATTCTTTTGCATAGGTTGCCACAGGCGCAGGTTCTTGTTTGTCTAATCATGAGTGCTCCCAACTTGCAAAGACTCACAATTAGGGTTGGTTTTTGCTGTGATTTGCTACATTTTCTTGCATGATACCGATTGTTGGTAACCCTATCTTGACATGTTGTTCCTTGGTAATCCTTGTCTTAGCTTGATGATGATCTCAGACATCCACGTTCGGAGGTTATTGCTAGCCTACAAAAGTTGTTGGAAGCAGAGGACCAACCTAGAGTTTCTTGCCTTCAACATCTGGAAGAGTTCAACATTCAGGACAGTCGTGGTACACTAGTGGAGCTGGACCTGGTGAGGTTTGTTCTAGCCACTGCCCCGGTACTTCGCAGGATCTCCATTAGGCGCAAAGAAAAATTGTTGTCCTCGAAAATGGTTATGAAGTTCTCGAATGAGATGTTATTATATAAGCGTATTTCCAAAGAAGCCGAGGTCAAATATGTCTAGAATTATGTGGTTGGCACTTTGTAGCTTTTACCTCCCACCTTTAAGTCGTTGTCCATCTTCTTTGATGTTGGTTCGTCTTTTATGTTCTCTTTTCTAGTTTGCAAATGATGTAAGGGTGCTTGATCCAAGTGAGTTCAACTGTAGAATGTTTGTTATTGTTAACTGCAGAGTGGCCTGTGATTAGTTGGGACTTACTTCTAGCATTGCATTTACCTCTTTGCTTATTAGTCCTTCCATGAGTATGACATCTTCCGATAAAGAAATCAGCATATACTCATTTCACAGGGTAATAATGAATTCATTCAAAATGAACTTTGTTTGAGAAAATCAATTGTGAATCACCTATTTCAATTATCAAGTGCATGTGGCATTATTTATTTATTTGTTTATATGTCCGGTTTGAATTGGAATTCACCAATGATAATTTTTTTTTGATAAGAGTAAAGTTTAGTGATTGTTCTGTTAACAATGAAAAAATCAATTATGAATCACCTATATCAATTATCAAGTGTCAGACATGTTCGTTTGACCCTCCCTCGGGAAAGGAAAGATTCGGCCCTCACATGGTGACAAAAAAATTGGGCCACAAGCTATTTGATGCTGATGAGACCACTCGACCCTATCATCCTCGCACGGTCTGGATCAACAAAGACGTCCATGGCAAGGGGACTATTGACGGTACGCGTACACAAAAGACGGACTGCGAGGAAGGAAGCCTACTGTGGCAGCTGCGGAGAGATCGAATTTGGATCACAGTCCGCTGTGGATGGGGACTTCGACCCGCCCATTTATGGAGGTGGAGCCAAAGAGTGGCCGAGAGAAGTCCTCGCGTAGATTCCCTATGACCAAGAGCCCCAAAGTGACTCTCGGGGGACTTGGCCGCAAGGGGCAGCACGCCAAGGAAGAACAGCTAAACACCACTGCTGTTACTGACATGGAATGGCAGGCAGGGGAGCAGATGAGGTCGCGCACCTCGCAACGGGGAACGAGGCCCGAGCGACGGGATAGGCGGACGAGACGGCGGCGGGGTGATGACCTGCCGAAACCCTCCAGAGGGTCCCCTGTCTTGGATTCACCACAGGATCAGACTCGTCGCAGGCGGTTACTACTCCAAGAGGAATCGGAAGAGGAATTTGAGGTTCAAGCACCACCCATGCAGGCGGGAAAGGCCAAAATGATGGGCGAGAGAAACTCCGGGCAAGCTGAGTGCCTAGCTGACCGAGCTCGTGGAGATCGCATGGGTGATGACAAGGCGGGCGATCGGCGGACTTCCTCCACCTCAAAGAGGCTGGCATCGAAAAAGGGTGAGGAGGGGCATCTTACTCCTCCTCCCCAACCTGTGCGCAACCCTAATCCGAGGGTTATTATTGATGTTGTGCCCCTAAGGGTGTGTCCCCCCACGGTTAGCGCTCCCATTGCTGCTGATATCAGCTCGGATACTGGGGGTGATTCTGATATCCCCAATGCATTTCATCCGGCTGAAAGATCCCTGTCCAAGGACAAAGCTACACTGGTTGACTCGGAGGGCACGGTGTCGGAGGAGGATGCCCGAGTCTTCGAAATCAAACGGCGTCCGTCGACAGGGAAGAAAAAAGGGAATCATGCCCAGGCGGGACATGTCGGACAGGTAGTCCAAGAGTTTGAGAAAGGGCTGTCTATAAACAATGGGGAGACTGGACTCGGGCGAAGGCTCTCGCATCCTTTGGGGGATTCGCATCAAGAGATGGTGGCGGAGGGGGGAAGGGAAGAGATTGGACTTAATGAGTATGGGTCCAATCTGCCGGACCCCTCAAGCGGTGGAGTGAAGCGTCCCTTTGCGGACATCGAGGGCTCTGTGGAGGAGGCCCCGTCCCCCAAGAAACAATTTGTGGAGGAACTTGATGATATGAATATGGTGGAGGAAGCCAGCCACAAATGGCCCCACCCGAATAAATGAAGCTTCTCGCCTGGAATGTGAGAGGAATTGGACCATCCCTCACATTCCAAACTGCTGTTGGTTTAGTTCGTTCTAATAAACCGGATCTCGTGTTCTTCTCGGAGACACGATCGAGCCGTAGAGTAGTTTCCCGGCGTATGCGCGGATTAGGTTTTGATCTTTCTTCCTGTTTCTTTGTTGATGCTATTAATCTGTGGGTGGTTTAGTGGTAGCTTGGTCCCCTGAAGTTGTGGCTTCGGTGTTTTTTCATTCGGATTTTTGTATTTGCACCCAAATTAATGAAAGTAATTTTTCTTATGTGGTGGTTTCAGTTTACATTAGCTGTAATTCTACTATAAGGGCCTCCTAGTTGGCTCGGTTGCAGCAAGTGTGTGCTACGATCCAAACCCCCTACGTAGTCATTGGAGATGTTAACACTACTCTTCATGAGAGTGAGAACGATGGGGGAAATACCTGGAATTCAGCACAAGCGCTTAGCCTGCGTGATTTTATTCAGGACCTTGGTCTCCATGACCCTGGTTTTCAAGGCGACCAGTTCACCTGGACCAATAAACGTATGGGTGTGGCTTGTATTCGTGAGCGACTGGACCGGGCCCTGTGCTCTCATAATTGGATTGAGCGTTACCCGGAGACTTTAGTCAAACACTTTACAGACCAAGGGTCTGACCATCGGGCGATCCTCCTCGCGGATAAACCTTATACACGTCACACTCGCCCTTTGTTCCTTTTTGATGCTCGCCGGACAGATAATCCGGAGGTCCGGGCGATGGTGGCCTATGTTTGGCAGGAGGAAATCCATGGTACCCCGATGTTTCAGCTCTGGGAGCGACTAAAAAAGCTTCGGCATCTTCTTTATGATTGGAGTAGGGCGGGTACTACAAACTCCATGCGTAACATTCATACTCTTCAAGGTGAAATTGACCGGATTAAGCTGGTTCATCCCATTGACTGGGATGAGGTCTACAAGCTGGAAATAGAGCTGACGCGGCAATGGGAGGCAGAGGAAGTTTATTGGCAGCAGAAATCCAGAGTTCATTGGCTCAAAAAGGGGGATAAGAACACTTCTTATTTCCACACTGTTACTCGAACTCGGAGAAAAAGAAACTTTGTGGAGGGCCTCCGGAATGATAATGGTGACTGGGTCACAGAGGAAGCTGGTAAGGCGGAAGTGGCGTGTAGTTTTTACAAGAATCTTTTTACTTCTGAGACCCAGGTCGAGAATATGAGGGACAGAGTAACGACCTTGCCCATTGCCCAGAGTATCACACCTGAAATGAATGCTAGCCTGACGGCGGAAGTTCTTCCCGCGGAGGTTCGGAAGGTGGTGTTCTCAATGGGCTCAAAACAAGCTCCGGGCTCAGATGGGTTTACGGGCAAGTTCTTCAAAGCCTTCTGGGATATTGTTGGCAACTCGGTCACGGAAGCTGTATGCTCGTTCTTTAGGACGAGTAGGATGCTCCGTAGCTTCAATCATACCTGGTTGACATTGATTCCCAAGGTTGATAATGTAGAGACCATGAAGCAGCTGCGGTCGATAAGCCTCTGCCAGTTTGTTTACAAGATTATAACCAAGATCATGGCTGAACGGCTGGCTAGGTTCCTCCCGCATGTTATATCTCGGGGCCAAAACGCTTTTATTAGGGAGCGTCAAATAGTTGAAAACATTCTCCTCGGGCATGAACTAATGCACTATCTGAAAATCAAAACGAAAGGCAAGAAAGGGTACATGGCTCTGAAGGTTGACATGGAAAAGGCCTATGATAGAGTTGAATGGCCCTTTCTACTTGCGGTTTTGGAGAAGATGGGATTTAGTTATACGTGGAGAGGATGGGTTCTGGAATGCCTCAAATTCACTTTGTTTTCAGTTATGATGAATGGCACGCCGGCAGGCTACTTCACCTCGTCAAGGGGGCTGCGGCAGGGAGATCCTCTCTCTCCTCTTCTTTTTGTGCTTTGCACTGAGGGATTTGCGGCACTCCTTAATAAGGCAATTGCGGAAAGAAAACTTCAAGGGGTGAAAGTAGCCCCTCGGGCACCTAGGATTACCCACCTGTTCTTTGCGGATGATTCATATCTATTCCTCCGTGGGTCCCTGCAGGAATGTGAGAATCTGATTGAAGTGTTGAATGAATATGAGGAACTTAGTGGTCAAAGGGTGAATTTGGACAAATCTGCGGTTTGCTTTAGTAAAAACATTACTGTGCCCGACCAGGAGTTTCTGGCTCAGATCTTGGGGGTGGGAGCGGTTGGTGTCCATGACAAATACCTAGGACTACCTTCTCTGATAGCCCGATCTAAAATGGTTACTTTTCGATACCTCGAAGAAAAGCTCCTTGAGCGGCTGCAGGGGTGGAAGCAAAGGACATTGTCATGGGCTGCCAAGGAGGTCTTGATTAAATCAGTTGCCTTGGCGCTTCCGTTGCATGTCATGTCCTGTTTCAAACTTCCCCTTTCCCTGTGTAGGCTCTTGGATAAACACGTGGCACGATTTTGGTGGAATGTGGTGGAGGGCCATTCTAAAATTCGTTGGTTATCGTGGAGGAATATGTGCCGAAGCAAGCACGATGGGGGTATGGGGTTCCGTCGTTTTGAGCTGTTCAATCAGGGCTTGTTAGCCAAGATTGGGTGGCAGATCATTACCGAACCCCAATCCCTGCTAGCTCAAGTCTATAAGGGTAAGTACTTCCCTACTGGTACGTTCCTTATGGCTACTGCAAGATCCCGGCCATCCTGGGGCTGGCAGAGTATTCTGTATGGCAGACAATTGCTGGAGCAAGGGTTAAGATGGCAAATAGGTAATGGGCGAAAGGCGTCCCTACTCTCTTCAAATTGGATCCCTCAGCTTCACCCCTCTCCCCCGAGGTACAATCCCTTGGTGCTCCCGGATAGGAACGACCTTCGAGTGGAGGAAGTTCTTTGTCCCGGGGAGGGATGTTGGAATGATTCGAAGCTCAGTCAATGGTTTGACCCCCCCTACCTGTCGTGCCATAAAGACTATCCCGCTTCCGAGGCATTGCATAGAGGATCGTCTTGTCTGGCAGGACACTGCGGATGGAGTTTTATTGGTTAAATCGGCCTATCACCTTGCCGTCCGGTTGGATCAGCAAAGCAGTCGTTGTAAAGCTACAGTTAGTTGGATGGATAAACCCAGTTGGATCCGGGTATGGGAGGCCAACATACCGCCCAAACTTAAGGTGTTTGTCTTGCAAATCTTAAATCGGATTCTCCCCACAACTGGGGCGCTTAGAAATAAGGATGTGGTGGTC